TAAACGCCGACTTCGAAAAATGAGAACTTTTTAGTGAGCGTTTGGCTGGAAAACCCATAATTTTCGTTTCTACTGAAACATGGTACTTGGAAATCCCTCAATTATTTCGAATGAAAGGATATAAAAGTATTTATAATGAGAGCTAAATGAATCGATCTGATAGAGTTATGTTGTATGTTAGAGATAATTTTTGGGCAAATTCTGAAATAATTGAGATAGATGGGATAACAATTATCAATACCAATATCAAATTAATAAATGGAGAAAAGATAACCTTTCTGCAATTACATATCTCACGATATATCTAAGAGCGAATTTGTACTGATAATGCGAAACAAATAATGAAAAAGTCTCATGCATAGATAATTTCATCATAAAATAAAAAAATGCAACAGTTGACTGTTGTATTTTTACATTTCATTATTATKTTTTTACATTTTATATTGTACCCTGAACTGTAAAAAAACAAATAAGAATTGAATASAGGCTTGGAACCAAGACAAAACTGGWTAACCAGTGGGATAATTGTCTCCTGTAAGACGAAGGAGAACTTGTATAACACAAGGTSAAGGAATTCTTCTTGTATTCAGTTAAAACAAGAGTGTATTGMCTAAAYTAAACGTTWAACTGAATTAATCAAATAGGCAAACATTAAACATGAATGCAACTTAATAAAACGGAATAGATCCTAAGGCCGATTTTTACCAGMAACAAGCGAAACGCARTTTATGTAAGTTTAYGWRASTAAGTTTATGTTAAACGCCGAAATAAAACTAGTTTAACTACGGGCCGTTTTWGCCAGCGCAAACTGGAAACACTGGCATCGTTGCAGAAGTGAGAAATATTACGAGTCCGCTCYTCTTCTTCTTCTTCTTTATCTTTGGCACAGCTCCTTCAGGGCTATTTGCCAGTATATATTACGAGTCTCATCGCCGAAACATCTTATCAAGGAACCATTTGGGTCCATGACGTCAATAAATCAAAGTTTCTGCCCGAACTAACGTTAAAATTTTAAAGTTTGCTTTGTTTTCCCCAAAATTTCCCATTTGAAAAGTTACTTAAACAAGTAGAAAATTAAGCCCTACGTACTACCTTTCAGATTCTTATAAAATTCATTGAATAAACAACGCAAGTGGAGAAGTACATCGGCGGTGAGGAAGAATTTTGCTGGGTAAACAGCTTGGCTGGAAACTCACAAAACCCAGAACGCTTGAATACCAGCTCTATTTTATTCTCTTATTTTCATCAAGCGATCTCAAACCAGTTTAATGTCTGAAACTCGGTTTGACGGGCGAAACGGATTTCACCAGCACCTTAAACTTAGGTTGTGCTTAAAGACGTTTAAGGAAATGCTGCGCAGGCAAAACTCAGCGTATTGGGTTTCCAAAACGAGGCGATTTAAAAAGAAAATTTAATAATTTAGGTACATTATTCTAACCTGTTCTTTATTGTCCCAAAATTATCATTACTTAATAGATGTTACTAGAGAATAGGCTGAACCTGTCGAAATGTGACTTTGCCTGTTGGATGGCAGCCCTTCCTAAATAACTAATAAATTATAAATTAAGCTGCCTAAAATGAATCAACCTATTCCACTCGACCAGAAGATAAATTGTTTCCAACAGTTCTACACACCATACGATTTGCAGGCAATTGGAAGGCAATTCAATCACTAAAATTCTATTTATTTTCGTTATCATGTCATATTGGCATCGCATTATTTTTTTATGAATAAAGTACAGTACTCAATTAGTTCATACTAACTAGAAACCTGTATTTTTAAAAGAATATAAGTTTGTAATTGGTAAGGGTCCTACACTGCAGTAGATAACGCGCGCTATTCTATAAATAAATCTATTCGAACTATTTTATTTGGCAGGTGCAATAATTCATTTAGTAATTATTCGATAGTGCCCATCACTAAATATAACCGGTCAAAAGCCTTTCAGGAAAGCTACCGTCTCAAAATATAGCCACAAAATTTTAATTTGCCAAACATCCATTTGAACAACTTTTTGTGCAGCTTCGTTAAAATATTTGTAATTAGGAATTAAATTTGAGGAATTTTTGGCTAAAACATAAATCTGATAACTGATGTTTGGAATCTGCAACGGCAACATAACTCTGTTGTAGCGCAGTTATTCCGGATTATCTGAAAAAGAAACAAAATCAACTTTGAGAAGAAATTGAGAGATGAAAATGAGCAACAGAACAGTACCGACATCGCTTTTAAGTCGAATTTAACCGGATGATCTTTCGGAGAAAAAAACGTCTGGCATCTGTGTTGATATTGGGTTCTTTCCGACATTCGGTCACTATTTTTCTCATATTACGGGATAGCATCATTTTAATCTGCTTTTTGCTTTTATATGCTTTTTGCATGCTGATTGAAATTCTTTTATATTGCTTGCAGGCACCGGGGTATAGAACAGATAGGATGCATAATGATTTGGCCCGATAAAAAAGTTGTAGGATCGACATATGACTTGGGGTAAGTAAATACCTATTTTGGTTTCTGAAAAATTCATATTAGAATGGTTTATTTATTGCAACTATTTATCATCAGTTCACCACACCTTTAGGGTTTAGCAAAATATGCTCTAAACGTGTATTACATGGATAAATAAGTATTATCCGTGTTCTCAAACGCGATTCCTGTTCACTATTTTGCCAATTATCTATACTACGATGTTGCGGAAATATGAAATTTAGCAAGAATACTGGCTTACTTGACTGAAAGTCTTGATAAGCTTAAAAATGTCTCATGTGTCTCACCATCATCATTATTTAAACGCACTGTATAGTCCACTGTTGAACATAGGCCTCCGCAAAATCTGCCACTCATTCCAATTATCTGCGACATGCTTCCAGTTCGTTTGGATTCTCTTCTTGTCATCGTTCATCTCACAGGGGGTCGTCCTCTACTTCGATAGGCCGCACATAGTGGAAATGATCTAATGGGGACCACGATGTGAGCTCATATGTATGGCTCGGATTAAAGGCCGCAATTTAGTGAGAAAGCGTTGAAACTTTATTAATATGAAACCTCCTAAAGTTAGGTAGGATAGGTATTGTTTTAGGTAGTCCAGACATTAGAATTTTGTAGAATTTAGATAATTAACGTAAAGTGCTCCTTACAACTCTTATTATGTAATATACTGTTGGTCAATACAAAGATACAAATACAATACAATACAAAATACAAAAAAATCTACTGGTTGTTGTGCGATTAAATATGAGGCATAAAATGCTGTAACGGTTTAAAATGGAATTTAGCCAATGGGTRYSCTGTCTGCTAACCCGTTGTTCAAATGTATGTAGTAATAAGTTATAATTGTAATAAGSTATTTTTGTCAACTGATTTTTATTTGTAATTTGGATTTAGTAAGCACGTTTGTCAGATTAGGTTAATAATATTTTGGGGATTATTTGAATTTTGATGTTTGGATATTTGTGTCTCTCTCCCAAACATCAGCAGTCTTTATCATGGTTTTGTCTGGCAACGTGGTGGCTGCCCCACCTTCACGGACTACCGTTATTGATGGGAAGGGACGAGGAGTGGACCCAGCAGGGTCACCGAGTCATCAAGTTTCACATATTGCCGAACATAGTCGATCACCGTCACCTTGACCTCCGAATCCGCCATATTCTGCTGTGTGGTAGATCTGCCCGCTACTTGACCATCCGTTTGGGTTGGAATATTGCCAGGGACGGTCTGGATGAGATCACGTGGCGGCGACTTCAGAGACTTGCTGGTGTTTGGGGCGAGTATTGCTATTGGCTGTGTATTATCAATTTGTATTTTTTTGGAAATTTTCATTTGATTAAGCAGTTAACGTAAGGTACAGATCAAACGGTTAGCAGACGGTAGTTTGCGGTCGTCAAACCACGTTTTCTTGTTCTTTATTAAGCTCACCATTTTCCTTTTTTTATGTCCTCATTCAAGTCACTTTATGTACTATCACGGTAAAAGAATTGAGTAGGTGTTTCGGCAGCATTCCATCGCTGAGTGTTCTAGCTTTGCTGCGAAAGCTAATGGCGCTCCAACAAACTCATCCTTCGGGCTTTGCACACGACCGCCCGAAATACCCGCTCAAGGGAAACCCCTATTTTTCTCTATCTATTAAATTGTCATTTAAATCGTTGTCTTAATTAAATAGTTTTCATTAAAGGTTGATGTTTATTCTTTTGTTCTGTCCGAAATTTGTCGTGTTGCAATGCATACAAAATATTTTCGCTGTGTCATTGTGTATCAGTTTTCGATTAAGAAATTTAAAAAACAAATATTTTTTTGTATCTCCCATATGTTGACTTTTTATGTTCCGCAACTCTAGTATTCGAGATGTTAATCTAGGACGCTTTTGCCGGTGCCTGTACGTATCGTTACAGTGCCGGTGCCGGTGAACGGTGACATCCACATTTACTTATCTAATAAGAATATTTAGGCCCTAATTCAAGAACGCCAGTCATACGCTATTCATGAGATGTGGTCTCTAACTAAAGCCAACTTTCGGCATTCAAGAACGACACTAATGAGTCACTCACTTGAGTGGCAACTGGTTCAAAGCAAACAGTTTCAGTAGGTTGTATTCTCATAAGTAAATAACTTCATTCCGGTTTCATAACATCAGTTCAACTTTCACTATCACTTGTATTGTTATGGGTGTTTGAAGAAAAAATTACCGTTTATAATACAAGTTTATTAATTATGTATAGCAATATGAGTGCAACAAGCGCAGTTTTATGTCGAGTCCTGAGAAACAATTTCAGAATGGCAGAATGTTCGTATATCCATTCTCCATCCATTCCAAAAAAGTTCTAAAACAGGGGGGAGTGAAAGCAAAAAGACTAGAGATAAATAAACAAATTTAGGAACAATTGGGGGTTTAATACAATATGAAATCAAATTTAAACTGTTAATCTGCTAAAATGGCGTGAATAAAAGCAGCGCTGAATGCCCTACTTGGCACTTCGGACTGCGGAAACGTTTAAGTTTCCTCCATAGTTATACTTTCATCGATCTTCTGGCTGGTGTCAATAGAAATATTAAGAACCACCGCTATAGCAGCAACAATTCTGGCGGTATGTCGTAATGATACTTGCAAGCCCTTTTCTAAACGTTTAAAACGACCTTTCCATACACCAAAAGCGCCTTGCATAACATTCCTTGATAAAAGATATGCGTTATTATATCGCTGCCCGGCTCCTCTTTTTGGGTTTTTCAATGTTTTTGACGTATACATATACCTATTCTGGACACGAGCACTATCTTCATGGAACTGCCATAAAAATTCTGCTATGATCAGAACCTGGCCAATGAATAACAATATCCTTAAGTTCGATCCAGCTACAGCTTTATTGTTCATATATTTGATCCACCTTGCTATTTCAATGTGGGTGCCATTTCTACACCCAATTACGCCAGGAAAACTTGCAACGTGATGAAACTGCCCGATTTTAATTGGTCAAAATGCACCAAAATAAATCTTGAGTACGCCATGAAAGGAGGAAAAGACACACTAATTTCTCAGTCACTTATGGTACTCAACGCGCATGTGTTCTTGTAAATAAGAAAATGTTAGCAACAAACTGAACATGTGCAAATCATGGAATGTTGGGTTAGCAAGCTAATTGAGATTTTTCCCTTACGTCGGCTACGAGAATCACATTCGAAAACATTCATATTTTATTCAGACTATTTTTATTTTTACACTACGGCAAATTCCACTGTGAAACGGAAAATCCTGTTGGGGTGGAGACGTTGATTTTGTTAAATCAAATCAGTCAAAACTGATTGATGAACAAAATGGTAGTTATTTGTTTTTGTCGAACTTTCAATGGTTATGTTTCTTTAAAATTTTACTTATACTTTCCAACTTTTTTCTTGAAAACTGAGTTCTCGTGGATGGACATTATTTATTGCAGAGGGATGGCTTTTTCCACATGAAAACTCGCCCAAGGTTAGGGAAAGACAGACTTGATCCTTAATGCCTAGTTTGATTTTTATTGAAAATTTAAACAGCTTTATCAGAGGCACGGTTTGAAATTCAAATCCACATTTGGTAGGGCCGAAAGATCAAACTAACTCCCCGTATGACGTTAGGGGCCGATTTCGTAGCATACTGGTTCATGTTCCTACTAACTTTTTGGTTCTGCTTCATGGAAATTTTAAGCTTCTGACGACTGGCTTTAGTATTCTTTAAACCTCATTCACTTAATTCGCTGCAAGTAATTTAAAAATATTAACGGAAAACGTAGTTTCAAATATGTTGCTTGGCTTGTCGAGGATGCAGCAAAAAGCGGTCCAGTTAAAACAAAAGCCGTCTCCGTAAACTCACTCGATCCCATTCGAAAGCGGTCACCAAGAACGCACAGTTGTAAATATTGGAAATCTAGTTTCCTTCCGGCCGGTCAGCCAAAGTTACCTAAGGTCTCAATCGAGCTCGACTACTCTCACAATTCTCGGTGAGTGTACGGCCATACTTCCCCGCCCAATCACTCATGCTTAGAAAATAAAGTCGTCTCGTCTTTAGCAGTGCTGGTTAGGGACCTTCAGAATCGCCTAAACTTTATTATTCCTGCAGCTGCTTCCAACTGGGCCCACGCAACACTCGTCTCTCAGCAAACGCATTTGTTCTTTGAAACCCGGAAATTCCCTTCCCTTTCTACTGGTCTTGCAAGCCGAATAATTTGGCTTAGCGAGACCACTACATGTTAGTCCTACGAGCGGGATCACTACATATTTAGACCCTCGATCCGGATCAATACAAGTACAAATCTGGTGTTGCCATATTTCAGAAAAGCAAAAAGATAAATGTCTGCTTTTTTATTACTGCCAGGTTGCATGAAAGCATGAAAAATTAGTAGGCGAAGGAGGCCAAAAAGCAAATTTAAATGGGTTTGTCAGCCCTTACATATATAAAACAAAAGAAAGTCATTCGGTCATAATTTAAGGCTGACTCAGTATCTTCGAAACCAATCACAGATGCTTGTGAGACAAATAGATTTTACAAGAAGAAAATGTATTGCCATTTTATTAATTCCTTTCATTAAAACAACGCAACCGGCATCTGTTATAGTCTATTTTCAGTAAAATCAAAAAAAAATATATTGAACGCGCTGCACCGCTGGCGAACGTACAAACCACTAGTCTTCACTAAACACAGCGTCTTCTGTTCTTATTGCCCAACATATAAAAACTGTGGCGCGCTGTGTCGCGGTAGAGATACGGTAAGCCGTATCGGTGTCGCGGTGTGAACACCTAAAAATTCATTGTGTTACCCAGGCGAAATTGAAGTAGTTAATAATGGAACAAGAAACGAAAGTCGAAGTTCCGCCACTGCTTGAAGTTGACGCTCGAGGCAAATCCGCATAAAGTAATACGGGCACAAACCGGATCTAACAACTGAAATACATTTATATTTTTTACGTACATTTTTTATAAGCTACYTTGATAAAAACAATTATTTAAGACGAAACCAGTGTCCTAAG